TAAAAAAATTTTAAGTTTCTCTTTCCCACTTCCCACTTCTCTCTCAATTATGGGGAAAAAAATTGCAAAACACTGCAAAATCAAGTAAAACTGTTTTGGATTAGAAAAGAATAGATAACCAGAAACTTTGTCATCACTTTTAGGTTGCATTTTTTGAAAATAGCCATTCATTTTTCCTGCCTAAAACACTTCAACATAAGTATGTTCAGCTGGCAGTACCTGAAAGTCATACAGCATTTTCTACTGTGCCATAGAACTGTGCTGTCCAATACCATAGCCACTACCTATATGTGGCTAGTAAACACTTTATATATGGCTAGTCTGAACTGAGCTGTGCTCTAAGTATAAAATACACACTATATTTTGAAGACTTAGTATAAAAAAAAGAATGTAAACTATCCCTTAGTTACATTGATTAAATGCTGAAATGATAATATTTTGAACATGTTGGGTTAATAATATATATTATTAAAATTAAGTTTTTCTCTTTTTACTTTTTAATGCAATTTAAAATTACATACATGGATTGAATATGTGGCCCCATATTATATTTCTACCAGAGAGTGTTGACATACAATATTAATATCCAACTTCCATTAGAGAAACTCAGGACATTTTTACTATCAAGAAACATGCCTACTTTATACTTATACTGGTCTCCATACCTCCAAAAATAATACATAAATACTGATAAGTTATATGTTCAAGTTTTCCTATTAATTTGCTTGCTACTTGTTCATTTATTTTGTTATCTCTTGCTGTTTGCTAAGGGACAAGTGGTAGCAGGCTCTAAAGGTTTAAAAATAATTACAGAAGAACCCAGTGTCCTATGGGCTATTAGGTTGAAGACCAGTGGATTAATGCATCAAACAAATAACACATTGTAGGCTATACAATGTACAGTAGACCTCTGTCATTTTCTTGGCTTCCGAACATGTGAAGCCCTTGCCTGTGCCTGGAGAATTTCCAACTTCATGAGCTTCAATGCAAGACAGAGCCTATCTTCCACTATTAAAAATTGTAAATAACAGATACTTGCTTTCGTACATATCCTGGCAGCCTATGCTTTTCCAAATAGACACACCCACCAGGAGTTTTGAATACGGAGGTTAGCGGCACAGAAAGGCAGAAACAAGATGGAGGTCTTCCTGACAACAGCAACAGTGGAGGCAACATGGAGTTTTCAAGGGCAGGGAGGGCAGCAGAAGCATGGGCGGTGTGGAGGGGCCAGCACATCCATAGTGCACACCCCGTCTGCTCAGCAGAGACGGCAGTAATGGTCTCGCTGGCATGAGTTCTGCTGTGGTTCTAGCTGTTCAGCCTCCCTTTGTTCCTGTATTCCTTCCAAGGCTGGCTCCATCCAGCCTTCTACCAATGCTGTGAGTTACTCAATACTCTATCAGTAAACTTCACTTCTGCTTAAATCAGACTGAGTCAGCTTTCATTGCTCACAACTAAGATGCCTAACGGATACACTAGGACATTCTTCTACAACTTTAAGAAATGGAAATATCCCAAATTAAATGAACATGGTTACTAGCAGAAAAATATACTCAAAATAAATTACTTCAGGGAAAGATGATTGATTTTCTGATTATCTGGGGGCAGTGCATATTAGAAACACCAGAAGCTTAAAAAAAAAAAGTCCTGAATCCCAGGTTGCAACAACATTCCAATTAAATCAGAATGACTGCTAATGGGAGCCATGCATTGGTATTTTTAAAAATCTTTAGGTGATTTCAATATGCAGTAAAATTTAGGAGGCCATTGTAATAATATAAGGAAGAGATGATGGTGGATAGGCCTGAGGTGACAGCAGTGGAGATGGTAAGGAGTGGTCAGATTATGGATACACTTTGAAGAGGTACAAGTAACAAATTTACTATTATAAAAATACAGTAATACTGAAATTATTACATACTTTGTTACACTCATACAACCCATCTCAAACTCTCCTAGATAATTTTCTTACTGAGCCAACTGAAATTAATCTGTCGTCACTGAGATTTCTTCTACCATCATTTTCAAATGTTCAGACTCTCCCTCTCCTCACTATGGCCCTATGTACCTCGCATATTCTCAAATTCAGTATTTCCTTCTGCTCAGAAACAACAGAGATTGATCAAACTGAACCATCATAAATCCCAATCTGTCTCAACTTTCTGAATTATAGTCAGTTTCCAAAATCAATCCTGCAGCATGCTAGATGCTAGATGTCAGCAAAGGATTTCAAATTTGCCACACTATTTTGATTTCCTCAGATAAAGAGTCGACCCCTATAAGTGTAATAAGTAAACTGTAAGTATAAACTATGTTTAACAATTATTTTTACACACACATAATAAGGAAAAGAATAAGGAGTGGTTTTTCCTAAGTAGCTCTGAAGTAGCAAGTGTTTAAAAAGCTATATAACTAGTATTTTCATTCCTAAACTCAAGAAATCACCAAAAGGTTTGTTACCTTAGATATAATTAGACATAACTCATAGCTCCTGGTTTTTTACATCCAATTTTCCATTGTCAGACTTTGCAACTGTACCATCGTATTCTCCTAGGTACCCACGTTGCTGGGAAGCTGTGTATCATGGTCCCCCTAATCACTGCAGTCCTACTTCATACCTACACCTAGCCCATACAGAGAGTGCCATGTATAAATGGAAGCATTTGGATTCAGATTTCCTTCTATTGTCTGTGTAAAGAAGAGTCTTTTAACTTCTTGCTTTAAAAGTATCCACTACTCTGATCAGACACTTGTATATCCATAGGGGAACTACTCAAGGCAGTCTAATATTTTTATTTCCAAGGGCAATCTATGAGTTGGGAAAGAAAGATAACAGTATTAAATGCACTGTAGCATTTAATATGTTAGTCTTAAAATTAATCTATCTCAGGAAATACTTTTTCTCTTTCTCAATATTCTTTGTTTACCCAAATAGATATACCCACCAGGGATTTTGAATATGGAAGCTAGTACAGAAAAGCAAAGAACAACAACAACAAAAAAAAAGCTGATTCCTCTTTCAAAACCACAAAGAATATCCTTGGCCTCACGTCTCAATAAACTCTTCCTAAGCAATCTGAAGCCCACGGTTTCAATTATTTTCCAAATGCTGAAGCATCCTAAATTATATTCCTGTTTCTTACCTGCTTCCTCAACTATAG